CTAAAACATTTTTACTTAATTTCTTCAACCGCTTGATGAGTAAACAGAAAATTAGTTCAAATAGCTTAAGAAAATCTGGAAAGGATTTTCTAAAATTATATCCAAAGATTTAAAATAAATTATATAACAGTTTAATTTTGTTTATATCACATTAAATATTGGTTTTTTTTTTTATTAAAAACAAACTTAAAGAAACGATTTTATGGAGTGTTTTAATACTAAATTCTTCATTAAACTGAACACGAATCGCATATTTTACTGCATTTGAACGAGTGTTTACCTTTATTTTCTTCGATAATTTACAGGAAAACGAAGCAAAGATTTTGGATAATATTTTAAATTCCTTCTACAAAAACTTTACTCGAAAGTAGGAAAGACTTTAGTAAAGTTTCTCTAGATTTATGTAAAGCCTTAAGCATCTATACGCATCTTTCGCTATGTAGAGGTATTTTTTGACAGATTGACGAAGAATCCGAGCTACATACTAGCATTAAAAAGCGTTAAATCCGTGAATAAAATGTAATCTTCGAGTTTTTAATATTATGAAAATCGAAGTAGTGTTAAAACAGAATTTAGTTCAATTTTAAAAATTAAATAAACGTTATAAAAGGGAAGAAGACATTTTAAAGAATTTTCGATTTGGTATAACGGCGTAAACTTCGATTTAAGTAAATAACACGACTTTATAAGCGGGAATTGTTATCTAAATTGAATTATATACAGTTTTTCTCTTAAACTTATTTATGTAGTTGTGTTATATTCTTTACAATTTCAACATTATTGACTTTAACGTTATTTTTCGTAATGGGTCATATACCAAATAATAGCTTTATAAAGTCGGTATTATCGGATTTCGTTTTATTTGTTACCAACATCCGAGGTAAATTTCCTCCCTCTTTCAAGCAATACAATTTCCGAGATTGGTGAAAACAATCAAAATAATTCGAATAGTGTTTAAATTCTATAGATTAAATTAGAGAGAAGTAAATCCCCTCAACTTAAATTCTAATTTCTTATTAGATTTTCCTAGCTATTTACTTATAAAAATACATAAAGGATTCTTGGTTTATTGCCGAATTGTATTATTTACATCTGTTCCTATACGTCACCAAATTGAGATTTAGTTAATGTTCTTAGAGAAACGAAGGAAAGAGAATTGCAAATTTCACTACATTTTGTAACTAGTTTGGATTATAAATAATTTTTTTTAAAAAAGGACAATTTCAAGGATGACAAAACACGTTAAGAAAAACGTTTTAATTGACAAAACGAATTCCGTAATTATGAAAAGTTTCTCTTCTCAAAAGTAAATTAGCGGAGGCAATTAGGAAAATTAAATCAAAATGTCAAATTGGAAAAGATTGCGGTGGGATTACTTATTTAAAACATTTCCCCCCTTACATAATTTACGGCATGTCTTTCGAGTTATATGAATTTTAATGATTTATTCGTATAAATATTCATCCAAAAATTGCATTTTTCATCCGTCTTTCGTGTCTTCGAACGTAAAAAATATTTTTGTTAGTAGTAACCCTTCCACAAAGAATATATAATAGTAGACCTACTGGTTGTATTCACTAGCTCTTGGAAAGGTCGTGCTACATGTTCTGTAATATTAAAAACAACAGTGGAGATCGATATCCTTGTACGGGCTTCGTCCTAGAAATTCTCTGTACACCCTTTCCAGTTACACAAACAGTAGTCGCTAGAGGCAATTAGTAAAGTTATTTAAATTTAATAAATACTCTACGACTTAATAAATAAATGTTTTTTAAATATTAATGCGCTTTCCTGTTTACGTACTTATTTCCTCAATGGTTGTTTATGTTGAGAGAATCTTTAGGAGAGAGGGAAAAAAAAAGTTCTAAGATACTCATCGTCGAGATGAAACACTTTTCTAGATTCTAAATCCCTATAGAACTTTGTATAAAAATTTATTCAAAAAATCGTAGGAGTAGCCCGGGGTTGTTAAGGTTTTTTCCTGAATAACATTTATGATTCTTGATGTTGACAATAAAATTTCAACCTTGGGGACTCAACTTGTTTTTTTTTACGTAAGCAGATTGTCAAAACAGCACCACTACAGAGATAAGGCCTATGTTTACATGTGTACGAATTTACTATTTAAATTATTATTAAAATATTACGTAGAAAATTTAATATCGTAAATAACCTTTTTTTTCTGAACGAATTTTCTTGGAAAATAGCTTTAAAAGTCGAATTTTTTTTCTAAAAAACAACCATGGAATGAAAACAAAAAAAGGGACGATGACGTTGACTATATTCTTTATGATAGCGTTATTATCGAACTGTATCGTCAGAGGAGCACTTGCACAATTTTGATGTCATTCTAGAACAATAAAAGAGCTTATTATAACTGTTGGAATAGCTTTACGACCTTCGCATCATCTGTCGAACGATCTATATTTTAAGTTTTACTCGCAATTTAAGGTTAATTGACTGTTCCCGGGGTTATATGAGATCGAGCGTAAAACTCCGTTCGATTATTCCTAACGTAAAAAGTATTTATAACAATTACGAGAATAACTCAATCGTCATTTGACCTCCACGTTAAATTGGCTATAGGGATTTTCGGATGCCCGAGATTTGTGCCGCAGTAAACGTCTATGGAATACCAGAGAGTATTGCAGGTGGAGCACGCTTCGCAGGGGCAACATTGTAACGGACTACTCCTCTGGGGACTTGAAAAGGTGGAGATTGGCCGGATCGAAAACATGTTTTTCTGTCAGGTTAAAAAAAAATATAAGCAAAACAAATCGATGCAGAAATTCGCACATTTTAATCATTAAATTTGCTTCTTAAATAGCGCGTAGGTCGAGTTTTAAACGAGCGCAGTTACGCCAATCGACGTTATTCATAAATAAGAAGGTCTCCTGTGACAGAAACGAAACAAATCATATTTTGTCAAACAAAAAAAGGGGGTAAAATAGTAGGTCAGTTCGATGGTAGCTTCCATTCTGTCCAATGTAGGTAGGGAATCGTAGGATAGCGTAGGAAGGAAAGAAATTTTATTTATTCCGCAATTTTCTACATTTTCTAAATAATAAAGTTATCCTAACATCTTAATCTTTACCGATTTTCCTCGAGTACAACATCAGCAAATCTATATTAGCTGGGGTTGTTATTAAACAATCCAAACGATCGTCTATTATGGAGTTCAGGAATTTTTACTACTGAAAAATGGCACGAATGGTATTCGCCATTCTTCCAAGCCATCAAACATGTTAACAAGCAAATCTATGCAGCAATATTTGTAAAATTAAAAGCGTATTATATATATATAAATTAAGCGCCGTTTATATTTTAAAAAACAAATTTAATAAGCAATATTTGTAAAATTAAAAGCGTATTATATATATATAAATTAAGCGCCGTTTATAGTTTAAAAAACAAATTTAATAATTATTTTTAATCTATGTATGTATGTATGTCTCTTTAATCCGAAATTAAGTTCGGTAGACTATCATTACAGCTTTCAGGTTAGACACTTCTTTTATTGTTTCCACAAAACTTGCTGAATTAGTTATAAAAAAAATATTGATGAAAAAATACAAAATATCCCTGGTGTTAAAATGGTAATGACTACATATTAATTTATAATAATAAAATAACGAATGATACAATAATATTAAATACTATAAATAATATAAATGAAGATATAAAATTTGATATTGAATTAGAAAAATGTAACCAAATAAATTTTTTAGATATAACAATAACTAATGAAATAGACAAATTTTCTTTTAAAACATTTAAAAAACATGTAGCGTCAATAAAACCATCAATTATCAATCCTGCATCCCTCCCTGAAACTATAAAAAAGAACACCTACATAATGTGCCTAAAAAATATATATATAGTACAAGAACTATTAATAATATATATAGTAAAATTGAATTAAAAGAATTAGAGAATAAGTTTATTTTGAATAATTACCCCAGTTACAAATTAAAAATGTGACACAACCAGTATTATAAAAACAGATTTAATATCAAAAATAAAAAAGATNCATGCATTCGTAAATTTAGAATACTTTTTTCTGTACTATATTAAAAGCTAAAATTTATTTGTTTGTAAGCTTAAAATAGATTTTTATTAACCATATATTATTAAAAATGCATTAATAAATAAAATACAGAACCAGGAATGGTAATTTATGGTTTAGCCTAGTGACAAATACATTCGGAGACAAATAAATTCGACTTGTGTCGTTTTTCGACTTACGTCGTTCTCCTGGAACCAATTACTGACGTAAGGCAAGGTATACCTGTACAACTAATCAAAATATTAAAATAATAATTGATTCAAACTGGCAACTTTATCATAACATTCATCTGTTTATTGTGATATAATGTTTATTAAGATGCCAGCTGTATAGCTGCATCACAAAAGATAGGTTCTGCTGAAACTAGAAAAAATTCAAATTTTCTATAAAATAAATTAGGATCCTTCTAGTTGGAATATTATGCTATCAGACAAATGGGATAACTATTTCATTTTCCTACTGGATGCCTAGAAAACAAGACTGCATCAATGAAGAAACTATCTGCTATTTATTTTTACTCACTGTGCAATGTTTAGAGTTCAATAAATTGTATAACTTACCTACATATCATAACTGATATGTAGTTTGTTTGAACTTGACATTTAAACTTTAAAGGCAAGATTCAGCTAGCTTTATGATGTAAATTAATAATACTCAATTTATTCTGATTTCTTTCAAAATATTTCTTATTGCATTATTGTATTAATAAGAAAATGATAATCAATAACTTCTTTTATGAAAAAATGCAAATCAAATAAAATATTTTTATTCAACTATGATATGTGAAATGAATTGAATTTAATCCCTCAATATCTTACAAACTTGATAACTTTTACAATACTATTATTAACAAGACTAAATATTTTTTAGTGTATAGAAAATGTACAGATATGAGTAATTTATATTAAAAGATATATTCAAAAATAATACCAACCTTCTTCTTCATCATCATCATCATCCTCACTTTCACTTATATGAACTGATACTTGAGTACCTGGATTTTTTGTCCATTCAAAGTACACTCCAAAGCCTATATCATAATTATCAGTAGCAAATTCCCAAAATAAACAAGTTCCATCATCATGAGTTGGAACTCTGACTGTAACAGTTTCTCCATGTCCTACTTTAATAATACCATCACCTCCTTCTTTTCTGATTGTCTCCTTGAATTCCCATACATCTTTACGGGTCCACATAGATGCAGCTGGCATAGCCGGCAGTTCTGCAATTTAATTCATTAATCTCTTCAAAATTTATATTATTATATTTACATATAGCATAATATAACTTGCTATAAATTGAATTCATGTGACAAAAGTTATAAGTGAATATCAAACCTGAATCATCTTCACTGCTTTCAGGTACATCATTTTCATGAAGTTGTTGCTGATCTGAATTTTCTTTATTTGAATCATTAACCGTGTTGTTTTCATTTTGAGTTATTTTTTGATTTTGTAAAAGTTGCTGTTGTAATACCTGTTGCATATATTGTTGATAATGTTGTTCTTGCAATTGTCTTATCAGTACACCTTGCTATGTAAATAAATAATCTCTTTAGCTAATTTGTAAATGAAGTGATAACAATGTAAACTAATAAAAGTGAAATTATCTTAGAATATGCTATGCTTAAAGATTTAATATTGAAATAAATATCAAAATACAACTAATCCTTGACTCAACTCACTCTTTCATAAGTATAGTGGAAAGTTTAAAAGATTTAAATCACTGAAAGAACATATTGCAATTCTTTGCGTGCTAATATGCAAGGTTAGAAACAAAGATTTCTAGTGATTGGAAAAAGTAAATATCCCAGATGTTTTGAGGATATGAAACATTTACAAATGGGTTACTGTTCAAATGTAAATGCCTGGATGACAACTGACATTTTTAACAACTTGTTAGTTAAATGGGATACAATCTTTAAATGAATACTTGTTATACATATATATAAATATCACAAAGCCCAATGTATTAATATTAAACCAAACAATCACTATAATTAATTGAGCTATTTTTTGCTACTATTAAGAACCATTAACAACTGTTTTAAAAATACAAGTTTATGGAGACATCTGAACATGAAGTGGTGTCTGAAGATCAAAAATATTCCACATTCCAGCAAATATGTCAAAAGAAAAGTTTAAAACTGGTTGGCAACTAGAAGAAAATTCCAATGGTTGGCTTTGATGACATCATCAGAAATATGCCAAATTGAATCAGAAAATTTTCCAGAATCACCTGATAAAATTGAAGAAAGTCAATATGAAGATAGTCTTTATCAGAGATGAAAAACCTTTTTGAGTTCTCAATCCATGTAGTGAATATAATTATCTGTAAAATGTTTGTGTGCAACAAAGTTTTAGACTTCAAATAACAATATTTAAAGAAATGAAATTGATATACTTTAATTAGAATGAATGTAAAAATGCTAACTGAAAAAAGAGATGTGATAAACCAAAATCATATTCAACATTACAATATTTTTCCCAATATATCACTATGGGTACACATGCCATATGTTTGCTGTCCTTGGTCTATATCTTTCAACAAATGTGAGGAGCTCCATGAATACTTTGTTGTGGAATACAGGACAGATGTATTGGGTTTTGAAAATATTTTGAATACAAAGGTCTTATTAATGAAATATTACCAAAAAAATACTTGGCAAATAATGTTGGATGAACTACTCAAGTAATTATAACTAAATTAATAAATTTTAAGTTGTTTAAAAAACAAATTTAATAATTATTTTTAATCTATGTATGTATGTATGTCTCTTTAATCCGAAATTAAGTTCGGTAGACTATCATTACAGCTTTCAGGTTAGACACTTCTTTTATTGTTTCCACAAAACTTGCTGAATTAGTTATAAAAAAAATATTGATGAAAAAATACAAAATATCCCTGGTGTTAAAATGGTAATGACTACATATTAATTTATAATAATAAAATAACGAATGATACAATAATATTAAATACTATAAATAATATAAATGAAGATATAAAATTTGATATTGAATTAGAAAAATGTAACCAAATAAATTTTTTAGATATAACAATAACTAATGAAATAGACAAATTTTCTTTTAAAACATTTAAAAAACATGTAGCGTCAATAAAACCATCAATTATCAATCCTGCATCCCTCCCTGAAACTATAAAAAAGAACACCTACATAATGTGCCTAAAAAATATATATATAGTACAAGAACTATTAATAATATATATAGTAAAATTGAATTAAAAGAATTAGAGAATAAGTTTATTTTGAATAATTACCCCAGTTACAAATTAAAAATGTGACACAACCAGTATTATAAAAACAGATTTAATATCAAAAATAAAAAAGATAAGAATTATAAAGCTTTTCCTTATATCAATGATGTTTATAATAATTGTAGTAAGATTTTAAAAAAAGAAAATATTGTTTTGGCCCCCATTATAAAG